CTTGTACGGAAGGTCCTGAAGTTGGGACCTTTTAATGCATTTAACAGTGTTAACCATTGGGGCGCATTAACTTCTAGACACTTTTCTAAGAATTTTAATAGGTTTATATTATGAAATTTGTATGAATATTGATGTAATGTTGATGTTGTTACTCTAATTTAAATATCACTAATAAATTTTATTATTATAGTATAATGTATTTTTATTATAATTGTTACTGTCACGTATTAAATTAATCTTATATATAAAAGAAAGAAACGCTAGGGCAACCCTAGGAAACCATAAGGAATTTTTATAATTTTTGTCTCTATTAATTTTTTTTATTATATTTTTTATTTGTCTTTTTCGTTCTTATCCCAATGCAACTATTTGCATCTTTCTTTATTATTCAACATTCCTTTTAATGGCATCTTTAAAATAATTTTTTGTTTCTATTTTTTTCCTCTACGATTTTTTTTAATTATTATTTTTTTCTTTATTAATTGATTCATTTATTTAACAATTAATTTCATATTAGTAAAATTGAGTGTATATAATATGTTGCTAAATAGTTTTATATTATCAAATTTGTAAGAATATTGATGTAATGTTGATGTTGTTACTGTAATTTAAATATCACTAATAAATATTATTATTATAGTATAATGTATTTTTATTATAATTGTTACTGTCACGTATTAAATTAATTATTTTTTTACTTTTAAAAGTGTTATCCCGTGCATCGCACGGGGAGAATACTAGTTTAAATAATGTTAAATAGAATATTAAATGCGACATTCATTATTATTAAATAATGTTAAATAAATTATTTACAAATTTAATATAATAAAATTTAAAAAATATAAAGAACTACGGTTCAATATCCCCAAACATCTATTATAATTATATAAACTAATAAACTCCACTTTTGGAAAATATAAAGAATACTCAATTAAATATAAACAAATGCATGACTTAATACAAGCTCACTTAGGTTAGTACATCGATAGTGTTACAATATCCGAATAAAAAATAAAATTAGATGTTTATTTAGAAAAAAAAAAAGACTATAACTCATTCCAATTAGTTTTCTTACTTTAAAATAAAACTATATACTTAAAATATTATATTGTGAATTTTCTTTTAATATTTAGTTTAATCAAATAGTATAATTTGAATTGATTAAACTCAAATCCTTTCAGTTAGTAAACGTTAATCAAATATTTGAATCAATTAAGCTTAATAATTGACGAGAACGTATTAACTGAACTAACTATTTATAATTAAAGTGTAATATCTTTTTAATTCAATTTTATCGTAAAAAATAATAAATTTAATTCCTAACATACGTAAGAATCAAATCGTAAGATTTGAATCGATTAAGCTCAAATACGTTCAATTCTTTGTAAATATTTTTTCAAAGATTTGAATCGATTAAATCTTAGAATTTTTACAAATTAAATTTTATTATTGTAGGATAACTTACAACCACCCATGAGGTATGGTTAAATCGCGAAAACCCTCCCTTGTTTGGATAATGATATCTACCCCTCAGCTATGAATTTTCTTACACCTCCACCCTTATGGTGTCAAATTCAATATAATCATATAGATTTGGTGGCATGTTCTCTAGTTTGTATTCGTTTTGTGCATAAATACAGTTTTTGATGCGCCACAATCTGATATGTACAAAAAACACATCTTATAATCATCTTGCTTTAAAATGTGGAGCTCGAATGGGATAAAACGGGTACAAAATTGAGAAGATTCCATATAATCTAGAAAATTCCAATAAATTTGAAACCACAAGGGTGGACGTGTAAGAAGATTTAATTTATAGTTGAGGGGTGGTTGTAATTACCCAAACATGAGGGGGTTTTTTTTTCTCGTAATTTGACCATACCTCAGGGGTGGTTGTAATTTACCCTATTTTTTATGATAAAATTCAATAAAAAAAAGATACTAAACGTTAACTATACATAGTTACATCAATTAATACGCTATTGTAAATTATTGAGTTTAACCGATTCAAATATTTGAATATTTGTCTACGAATTGAAATGACTTGAGCTTAATTGTTTCAAATCTTTGAATATTGTTTTCGAATTGAAAACACATGAGCTTAATTGATTCAAATCTTACGATTGACGATACAATCCAAAATTCAAATTCTTTTGAAATTCATTTTTAAATTACACGAGTTATATATATATATATATATATATATATATATATATATATATATATATATATATATATGATATTTTTAATATATAATAATAATAATTGTATGAGAATTAGTAATTTATTTAACATTATTAATATAAGTTTTATAATCATTATAAATTGTAGCGTGGTGATATATATGCTTATTGTTAGGCAATTTGTAATAATGTGTTGTGTTCCAATGGTAATTACGTATTCTTGTAAGCTTGAAGAGGTTACAAGTTTGAATGCTACAGAATGCAATCTTGGATGGGTGATTTAATGATTTTTACGAATAATCGTATAGATGACTTTACAAATTCAGCAATAAAAAAATTTAAAATTTATAAAAATACAAGGGTTACAAAAGACATTTCACATAAAATTTATTATTTATGTTTTTAAAAATTAAATATTTGTAGTAAGGGTATTTTAGACAATACACAAATTATTAAAAATTTAATTGCATTATTGGGACACGTGGCACGATTTGAGAGGCATATCTCATACGATCTGTGTTGTTGGGATCTCACCCTAGATAAACACGACCACGGGCCGGCTTAGACCCGAACCCGACCCGACGACCGCCCCGCCCCACCCCGTTGACCGTTGACCCGGACCCACCAATGTATGGGTCGATTTGGTTTCAGGTCATAATTTTTTGGACCCGAGACCCGAGGGGGACTGAAGACCCGACCCGAGTACCCGTCGAGTCCACCCGAATTTGATGTGAAATTTCACAAAAAATGTTGGTTTGGGGCTTGGTCCCGGGTTACCCGAGTGGTTGGTACTCCCGAGTGGTTTAGTAGAGTACCAACCACTCGGGCAAAGTAACTTATTGTTCTAATAATCCTAAATATAAACATATAAATATAAATAACACTGTAAAATAATTATAATTATTGTATAATTATTTTTTAATGAATTATTAATTGTCATATTCACTATTATTAATATTAATAGAGGTCATTAACAATAAACCCCTCATATAGTTAAGAAACGGTTTTATGTCGACCCCTTAAATCTTTCATCGTTATAACCCCCTAGAAATTTTATCCCCAATTCTACCCTTATGTCAATTAGCATAATTTGTCCAAATTGTTCATTTTTTCTCTCTTTTCATAACAATAATCTAATTCATAAAAACATGCTTCCGAATTCCTAAAGATTTACTACCAAATAAAAAAAAATGAATTTATTTATTTTTTATTTTTTATATTTCCGAACTTTATTTAGCCATTTTATATATTTTTTTAGTAAAAATATATTTTTTTATTTTTTTAAACAAAAAATTGAATTTGTTTTTCTCGACAAGTTTACAACGTCGAATATGACTATAGTTGAATATAACTATATGTGACTATATCAACTGTAGTCATATTCTTTCTTTATATTGCAGTTTCTTACATTTTCAACTTAAAAATTCTGATTATATAGTGTAGTAGAATCATGTTTACCAAATTATATAAAACAACGAAGATTCCATATTATTGACGAAAACAATCCAACCAACATCCACGCAAAAAATCACAATTTGAATGTTGTTATTACAAGTTAACTTGAAACGAGAGGACAAAATATTCGCAAAATACATAAATAAAGAGAGAAAAATAACGAAAGAGAGGGAGGGAAGTCAACGACAACGGCGGTGACGATGGTGGTGAACGAAAGAGAGAGTGAGAGAGGTGGCGACGGTGGTGGTGATTGACAAATCTGAGAAAAAAAAAAAGAAACTGAGAAATCGAGAAAGATGATGAAAAAGAGAGAAAGAGCCTTACGTGGAAACGGATGAGGCGGCAGCGGCAACGAGCGGCGACGGTGTGGTGGTGTACAGATCTACGTGAAGACGATGGTGGTGTAAAGAGAGAGAAATCGAGAGAGACAACGAACACGAGAGAAAGAAATTATTTGTATGGAGACGAAGGAGGAAGCGGCTGCGGCAACGAGCGGCGGTGGCGACAGCGACGGTGGAGGAAGCTTGGAATTTTCGGAGAGAGTTGAGGGATTTAGGTGGAGGTGGAGAAGAGAGAAGATGAACGTGATAGAGGTGGGCAAATAATTAGGGTTATAGTAGTTGAGGGTATTTTTGTCTTCTTTCATTAGTCTAGGGGGGTCTCACTAATTAAGAATGAAATTTGGGTGTAGATAAAAAAGTGTTCAAAAGTCAATTCGATTTAGTTCAAAATATTTCCATTTGAGAGGGCATTGCATATTTCCCCATATTAAAAATATCCGCTAACAACAAATGCATATATATTTAATTTTGAAAAATAAAAAAAAATGGATTTTGTTGTTCTTTTTTTGAATTTTGAGAATTTGAATTTTTTTTTTCAATTATTATTTTCACTTATAAATACCCCTAATCCAATCTTCACAACTTTCATGTTATTTATTGTATGTCTCAAGATCTTAATCGTTTCATTTTTTTCTAAAATTGTTTGGTGTTTAAATTCAAATTTTTTTTTGCTGATTTTGAATTTAAAGTTAATCTCACGTTTTTTCAAGTATCAATTTTTTTTTTCTTTCTTGTAATTATCTGGAAAAAATAAATTTGGAAAACCGGTTTGGACCCGGACCCGAATGGACGCGCCTCGAAACCGAACCCGACTCCCCATAGGTCGCTTTTGGGTCCTCTAAAAGTCAGACCCGGACCCGACCCGCCCCCTGGCCGTGTCTAACTTTAGACAAACCCTATTCTAAATATTAAATATATATAAGTTTGTGTGCATGTAGCTCAAAAGCTATATGTGAGTAAAATTGGATCCATATGTGTGTCCGGATGTAATGTACCGTTGCCGCCCCTAGAAATTAAAATTGGATCATATATGAATGGAATTAATTAAGATAGTATAATTGGCATGTGCAAATGTTACTATTTAATATAGTACATGTGTCGAAATTACTAGCTAGGTCGAAATAAAATATACAAGAGCGTAGGGGTTACACATTTATTAGCATTTGGAGACCATAGTCGGAGAGTCAACTGTCATTTTCATAGAGTTGAATTCAACAGCTATAAGCGGTTTTGAATTTTCCAGTGTCTCAATCATCAGGTTTTTCATATTTGCTGCTGATGAATTTTGGTGCTCTGAAATTTCACATTCTTCATTACGTGGTGCAAATTGCTCTGAAATCTTTGATGTTCCAATTATCCTCACTCTATATAATATATTAATTAAAGTACAATAATATATATAGTCACATATAATCAATAAGGTTAATTAATAATTTAAGGATTCACTTATAACCTGGTTTCAATCTGGCAAGTGTATTCAAGAAGATGTGGATTGTATTCAGTGAGACCACTGCAAAAAAAAAAAAACCACTTAAACTCATTATTATTATCTCCACAATTAATGGTTTAGAGCTAAATATTAATTAGGGAAAATTACGTCCGCCACCTGAAATATGCTCAAATTACGTAAAAATTCTTCATATTTGGATAATTACAACCACTTCTTCAACTATGTATTGTCTTATATACGTTCATCCTTATGGTGTCAAGTTTACCTAATGTGTACATTAAGTGACAACATCTTTTTTATTGTCATTAATAGTTCATTTTGTTGTCACTAATTAATCCTTATTTATTCCTTACCTTTTGAGACTCTTTTAACAAAAAGTCACTAACGAGCATTAGCGACACTCTAACGACACCCTGTTAGTGACAACAGTTTTTGTCTAATTATGTGAAAAATAAGTGTTGTCACTTAAAAGATTTTTTTTTAAGTGTAATGAAACAAGAGTTTTTTCGTAAGACAATACACACTTGAGGGGTAGTTGTAATTTTCAAAATATAAGGGACTTTTTTATAATATGAACTTATTTTTTTAAGTGGCCGTAATTTGTCCTATTAATTAATACAGTGTTTACCTCAAACTTGTGAGGGACAACTTGATTCGAGGATTGATACTAAACCTGTTGAGCTTCAAGTTGGGTGCTGCTCTCATTGAACACAAAATCAAATTAATTTTAGAAAAATGCAATTAATAATATATATATATATATATATATATATATATATATATATATATATATATATATATATATATATATATATATATATATATATATATATATATATATATATATATATATATATATATATATATATATATATATATATATATATATATATATATATATATATATATATATATATATATATATATATATATATTACTTTACTCTTCTGCTTCAACATACACCGTGTGCCACTATTATACTAACACTTTATAAAACAATTAAATTTATATTATAATTATAAAGTATTTCTTCTTCTTCTTTTTTTTTTTATGAATAAAATAGAAATAAATATAAATTATAAAATCTTATGGTGTAAGAATTTATATAATGGTTATACATCAACACACAATTTCAAAAATATATATAGCCTCGCATACCTTTATAAAATTGGCAACTTGACTAGGAAGTCCGAATACCTGGTATATAAAAAGAAAAATAAAATTAAAAAAATATTAAATAAAATATAAGGGATGCTGAAAATACCATTATGTTTGTATCGATACATAACTAAAAATAAAACAACAAATTATCATTGAACAAAATAATATTGAAGTATAGTGCATATATATATGGTCATATTTGTTAAATCGTAAAAATAAAATGATATATGGATCAAATAGTAAATCGTATGATTTGAACTCTAGCAATTTTTAGAACGTTGCATTTATTAAACAATTTGAATCGACAAGAGTATAAATCGAAATAAATCAGACATATATTATATTAACAATCATGCATGAAGGCAATGTCGAACACACGACCTCCGTCGCTTGCCGTGCATGTACTTCTATGCAACACGTACGCTATAAAACATGTGTTTGGCTCATCATATGGAGAAGAAAGAAATCAATACGAAAAAAGAACGGGGTGACTACGACAAAAAAATGATTAAATTAGATAAAAATAAATAAATTGATTTAATCAAGTAAACCCCCGATTAAAACCGAATAAAATTAGGTTTTGATGTTTTTTTTAGATTGTATATTCGACACCATGTACGTAATCATCTTTATTACTTCACTAATATTGAAGGTACCAAATGAATTTAACCAATTAATTTAATTACCTTCCGTCCGTGGTCGCAAGCTTCATCGCTGTTGACAAGAACTTTCGCAGCCCATCTATTCACAAATCAACAATTTCTTTTGGATATTAAAAAAAAAAATATATGTATTAAATACATGAGCCTAAATTTAAATCTTACGCGCGAGATGATCGATCCGGCTTAACTATAGCAGCAATTATCACCAACTGTAAAAATTAATAGCAAATCAAAAAATCAACCAACATCATACTAACCATCAAAGAAAATTCTCCTCCGTTGTCATTTTGAATTACTAAATAAGAATTTCGTACCATTAATATTAATTAGCACATAACCCTTAAATAATTTTAGGGTAGTTTGATAAATAAATTATGAGGATATACATACATTGATTGTAATAAAAATGGTACGAATGCAGTAAATATACACACCTCGTCGAACGCACCAAAAGGGCTCTCCTCGTAATTGGCGAGGAAAAACCCTCCCATAGTGTATCTGTAAAAAAAAAAAAAAAAAAAAAACTCTTATGAACTTAATATCGAATGATATATAATCAAGTATCAAAAACATATTAAAAAAAAAGTTTGTGACAAGTTATAACTATATATATATATTTATACACCGTAATTGAAATTGTAAAAAATTATTTAGAAGCCTTGCACGTGGAATATTTAGAACAGGTGACACGTGGGAATTCGAGTACATGGCCTTTTATTTGGTCCGATTTTAAGGGAATCCACCGGAATGTGACACGTCGAATATTAGTGATTAAGTGAATAATTTGATATTTATATATATCTCCAAAGTTCAAAAGATTCGCCTAATAGACTTTTTCTGTAGTTATTAAATGTTTAATTTTTTCTAACCATGCAAAAGTTTATGAATGGACTTCTAAAAAGGTTAATGCAATGCTGCTTAATTATTGTATTTGTATACATACCCAAAGTTCTGGACCACTTTGAATTCTTTGGGGATGAAAGGTCGAACAGAGTCGACTCGAACGGAATGAATCTGGTACACAGCACTGCAATATCGAAAAACAATTGCTTCAAACATTAATCATATCATGAATTCAAGAAATTGAAAAAGAATACGAATTAGGGAAAAAAAGAAGGTTACCTGCCCTTGAAAATCCACGGGGGCTTCTCGAATCCTGAAGTTACCATCGCAACGTCCATTGAAGAAAAACGAAGTGCACCGAATGAATCGAAAGAAGAGATCAGAGTATTTACACATATATATAAATAACTAAATCGAAAAGGACTAGTGGCTACATATATATATTTAATATGTAGAGGACTTTGGCGCCAATTTGAAGTACACACACACACAATGTGGAAGTTAAGTACATTGCCTTTCAAAAAAATTGTACAGCATTTAATGGGAAACATGGTAAAATTACTAAGGAGTTAGGCAGTTTGAGTAGTGATGGGAATTAGGACACGTTGATTGAAGAGAAATGGGAGATTCTTTTGGGAAAAAGTCATATTCATCTTTTACGTTTGATGTTTTGGTTTGGTGATATTAGGATAAATTAGTAGGATAATTAGTTGGATCAATTAGGAGGTGGCCTGCCTGGGAGATTTAATTTCTTGTCACCTGCAGTGTATGATTATATATAGTATTAGTGACCGAATTTTGAATGGTGGTTAGAAAGTTTGTTGGGATTTTCATTTCTTGATTTTTGTTTGTTTTTTTTTTCTTCTTTTACGTACACACTCGAGTTACATAATCTCTCTTTCTTTTCAAGATGGTTGTGTTTTAGGGGGATTTGTTTCTTTTAGAACACGGATCGTATGTATTTTTCAGTATTAAGAGACTTTGGTTTGATTTTACGACATAAAAATTGAGAATATTTTTTTCCAAAAGAAAAACACGAACTAAGTACTATTAATAGCGAATAAAGTTTCATAAACTACAGAAATTCTTTGGGAACACTTGGCGATGCGAGTCTTTAGATTATTTTCATTAGTTTACATATTTTAGTTTGTCGTCAATCATCATACTACTTCATGTCGTGTATCGTGATAGTTTGTATTGGGAATCAAAGAAGATGCACACAAATAAAGGGATTGGGAATGCAAGTATAGTTTATGATTCGATTAGGGACAATGATGTTTCGCGAGTTGGAGGGAAAAGGCTAAACTCGGAATTTGGGGCGAATATGAGTGGGCTTAGCTTGAATTGAGAAGTTGGGCTTAGCAATTGACCCATGGCCCAATGGATTGATTACTACTGGTCCAAGAGGGAAAACAAAGGAAGATCCGGTTGCACTAGGAAAGAATACAACCGATTAAACTTGCACACATTAATAGAAAGACACGTGTTAGCTTTTCATTTGTAATCAAAGAGTATCCTTAAAAACAAACTGTCACCGAATGTTATACGTAATTTTGTGGAATTTCTCACCGAAGTGAATTTATTTATTTCATCACATTAACCATTTTTATTTGGAACGGCCAACTGAACAAATTGGCCTAGTTGCACACTTAGCCAATGGAACTCTCTCGAACTTTAGCTGGACCGTCTGATTTTATCATTTGAATTTGTCCATTCACTTGAGAAACAAAAGGTTCTTTCGCCTCATTTCTCAACCCTAATCTGCTTTTTGGCCTCTCTTCCCGCAATACCACCGTAGTTACTATTCCTTGTCCGTTTCCAGCGAAATCCCATTGACTACAACGATGTTATACCAAAAGAGGTCTCCCTATACCGGAGACCATCTTACTTATATGTCTTTATATTCGAACCTTTGAGAGATCGAGAGACCAAAACACATTCATTAAGTCTTTTGATTGTTTTTTTCTTCACAATTCTTCTGTGAGTGGGTGAGTGAGTGAAGCACAGTGAGTGACCGATTGTGTTCAAATCGGTGAGAGATTAGGGGGTTTTGGGTATGAGAAAGTCATATCTTAGAGTTCCGGTCAGATCTTGGGTTCGGCAAACTTGGGTGTGCATCCTGGTCCAGTTGGTGCCACTGTCGGTGGATTCTGCACGAAATAGTCACAGAAGGAGACTGAGTGTTAAGTGTTCATTTTGAACGATTTTCACTAATCAATTCTTCGAGTTTTAGTCTTCGTTTGTCCGAGTTTTCGCCTTTACTTGTATATATTATGCTTTTCTTTTTTATTCAGGTTTATGTAAATGAAGCTATTTTTGCCGATTATAAACGATTTTGGAAGCGAATTTGAGTATCAAGCCAAATAAGTGCAAAATTGCATTAAAGCAGATTGTGGCAATGTTCGGTATTTCACACATAAGTCCTTCATACGACCTCCCATTGAGTCGATTCAAGTGGAGTTTGAAATCCAACTACCAGGGCTGCAACTTTGATGAAATGCATTTTTGTCCAATTCGGCTGAAAAAAGGTCATATAGAGTTTGAAGTTAACATAGTGACCATATTGTGATGTCACCATCCATATTGCGATATGGAAGAAAATGAAACAGAGAGCTTACAGTTTTGCCATAGCACGCGATATGTCTCCTTGTATCGCGATATGGGAGTAAACAAAACAGATAGCTTGTAGTTTGACATATCACGATATGGCCTCCCATATCCCGATATGGACTCGGGATGCTTAAAAAAAATCCAAAAATAGAAACCCTTTGTGTCATTTGAAGAGGTTTTTACATATTATTAACTTTCCTTATGTTTTCGTCAATTCTTCGCGGGAAGTTTCGACGATGGTTTTTTCATAAGCTATTTCTTTACATTTAGTTTATGATTTCTAGTGTTCTTCATTTTGATGCTATGTTTGTAATGATTAGAGCATTTTCTTATTGGGAAATGAAACCTTGCATATATTGATTTTGATTTCCAGATCTGTGATATATTTGTCATTCATTGATTTTTTTTATGTTTTCCTGTATTAAATGCTTTCAATCGTAAGGCCAATAGTTGAATTGATTGTAAATGGGAATGAACTCGAGAGAGGATTTCTCGTTTGATTTTAGGAAAACTTAGCTCATGTTGTGGAAACGGAGACCTGATGCACCTCGGGTAGCCATTAAAGACTTGACCTAAATGGTCTCTTAATACCAAGTTCTGAACGGTGACGTTGAACCTGTGGGTAGACTCTAACTACACTAGAGACGGGGTTAGGGTATTTTAGCGTTGGGTGAGCGAATATATAATTGACATTAGATTCGGATTTGTAAATATTTATCAATAGTACATTGGTGCATTTTACCCTAGAAACCATTACACGTTGAAATTCCTCGTTTGTCCTGGCGGATCGTTGTTTTTATTATAGTATGTTTGTTTTTGTTTTCATCCTCCATCCTTTCAATTATCTAGATAAAGTTTAGGATAGTATAATTATTGTAATTGGTAAATTTAGGAACTTAATTTCCCGTGGATCTATATATGGAATTCACTATTCTAAAAAACGCAATATTGTATACTTGCGAATATTATTCATACGTAGGTTTTACGTGTATCACTGAGCCATTATAAATCATAATTTTTTCATATGTCGAAGTTTTTTAGGGTTTCTCAGCTTCTGTTTTTTTTAAGACCAGCAAACCCTACCCCTATTCCCATAGGTGACTTTTTTTGTAATCATTTATAAAAGAAAATCACATTGTTCGTTTCTTTATTCAACCTGGTACCCAACAAATATGTTTTGTCATCAATCAGAATCATCATCAGAGTTAACAATTTTTTCTCTCATATCTCTTTTGATCTCTATTTTTTTTTATCTTTCTTGTTCTTCAATGTTTTCCTATTTTAAATGGGTGATGTGTTTATGATTACTGATTCTAAAATGACTCATATGAATTGTGTGTTTTTCTATTAGAATTAAGATGATTGGCTGTTGAATTCCGCATGCTCTGACTATTTGACACTAAAAGACAATGTTTATGGCATATGAACTTGATAGGGCTTTTGTGTCTATGGTTGATAGTACTAAAATGCATGTTTATGGCATATGAACTGTTTGTCTAAACTTTGATATTGGTTATGAGTTGACATTGAAAAGTTGAAGACATGTTCCTCAATTGATTAATAATTTGATGTCATGTGTTATGAAAGACATTCTTGAAGATGCTGGTTTTCAGGTTAGATGGAGAAATGGTGTTATGAAAATTATGAGGGATAGTCTATTATAAGAACGCAAAATATGTATGTTGCTTCTCCTGAATGAATTCTTTCCAACATGATTTGACTGAATGGCATAAAATGTTAGGTCATATTAGTGGTAAGAGACTTGAAATTATGCATAAAAATAATTATATTGGTAAAGATGTTGTGTTGAATATGCCATTACGTGATTCATGTATCACGGGTTAACGGATTAAAGTCAAACTTATTGTTTACATCTTCCCCAATTCCTCTAAATGCACTTAAATTCTTGAATATATACATGCTGATGTGTGGAGTCCTGCTTCTATTCATACACATGGTGGGCATATATATTTTATGTCTGTTGTTGATAACTTCTATGAGAAAGAGTTTATATTCCTTCTTAAACATAAATATGATATGTTTGAGAAGTTTAGAGTATAAACATCGAGAATAAAAATGGTATGAAAATCAAAACAGTTAGGACATACAATGGTACAAACTATTGCAATCATGAATTCGATAATTCGTGCGATATTCTGGCATTAGGAGGCATAAAACTGTTACATATAGACCTCAAAAAAATTGAATTGCTGAGAGAATGAACCCAAGTTTTATTGGTTATCTCCAGGTTCAGTAATTCTAGTATTCCAAAAGTGTTTGATTGTTCTGAACTGATAAATTAGAACCTAGATCAATGAAATGTGGTTTCTTTAATTATCCTAAAGGTGTTAAATGATATTAAATGAATATTGATTTTCATGCTTACGTATTTATAATCTTCTTATTCAATGATCTACTCAAAATGAGGTGGATATTTCATCTTCCAAAACTGTGGGTGATCAAAATGCTAATTTTGATAGTGCAGATGAGTTTGCTGAAAATGTTTATTGGTCAAAATGTTGAATATAAATGTGAATAACGATTTAAATAATTACCAACTTGGTGGGGATAGATCTAGGGGAGATATTAGAAAACCTCAACACTTTGATGATTTTCAGCTTGCATCTTTTGTGTTTAATGTGTTTGAAACTTTGGATGGAAATGAAACTATCTTATAATGACCCTTTTAAGTCTAAAAAATGTGGCAATCGGTTGTCTGTTATGCATGGTGAAATAAAATCTCTGCATGAAAATCATATTTGGACTATTGTCTATAAATTCTTAAAATTTTAATAATCCACTTTGG